TAATCAGATTTATGCATATCTAATGAAATTTGATCTAATTAATTCAAGGCAATTCGGTTTTAGGTCACTGCATTCAACTGTAACTGCATTACTGGATTTAACTAACCAGTGGTATTATAATATTGATAGAGGTATGATCAATGGTGTCTTATTTTTAGATTTAAAAAAAGCTTTTGACACTGTTGATCATAATATATTATTAACCAAATTAAGTTTTCTTGGAATCTGTGATAAAACATTACATTGGGTTAAATCATATTTTACTGATAGAACTCAACAATGTTATGTTAATGGTTATTTATCTGGTAAAGTGCAGGTCAAAAGTGGAGTTCCCCAAGGTTCAGTTCTAGGTCCTTTATTATTTCTTATTTATATAAATGATTTGACGACTTCTGTTAATCATGGTACTGCCCGAATGTATGCAGACGATACTAACGTATCATTCTCAGCATGTGTTTTTTCTGAACTTCAACGGCAGATGAAAAAAGACCTGGAACATTTAGAATCCTGGCTTATAACCAACAAACTTACTTTAAATACAGTGAAAACTGAATATATGGTTGTTGGTTCAAAACAAAGAATAAATTCACTTGTGGGTGATCTGACACTTTCCCTTAATGATATATCTCTACGTAAAGTTAAGAGTACTAAGTGCTTAGGAGTGACAATAGACGAATTTCTCACATGGGATGAGCACATAGATAATGTAATTAAAAAATTAGCGATCGGCGTTAGTCTTCTACGTAGAAATAGAAAAGTCTTGAAAAAGTGCGATCTTATGAATGTATATAGAGCTATTGTAGAACCTTATTTTGATTACTGTTGTATAATTTGGGATGGCATCAGTGACTATTTGGCGTTAAAGCTTCAAAAACTTCAAAATCGTGCAGCACGTATTGTTACTGGAGCCGACTATTCGCGAAGGTCCAGTGATATATTAAACGAATTAGGATGGGAGAAGTTAGTGAACGAAGACAAAAATGCAAAGCAGTGATGATGCATAAAATATTAAACCATAAAGCACCCGTCATGTTTCTTAGGTTTATTTAGACCAGAAACTGGTGCCAATTTTTATGATCTTCGTTCTTCAACAGAGAATGTCGAACTTCCACTAATTCGAACTGAATATTATAAGAGAAGTTTTGTTTACTCCGGCGCAAAAGTGTGGAACTCTCTTCCTGAAGTTTTGAAAAAAGAGAGTTCATTAAAGCGGTTCAAAGATCTTTTAAAAAATATCCATTTTTCCGCTGATCATTAATTAATTAAATTAATATATATTGCAAACTATAATATACGGCTTACAGGTAGAATAAAACTGTATATGATTTTGATGTATAACCACCGTATTGAAATAAAATTTTTGATAATAATAATAATAATAATAATATATATATATATATATATATATATATATATATATATATATATATATATATATATATAGATAAAGATAAAATAAACCTGGTTTACTTCATAAGATTTATTCACTACAAACTTGTTTCGTATGACAAACAATGCTTGCCACACTCATCAGGTGAATTTAAATGTCGCGCTATGTTGTTGCCAAGGTTATATATACTATATACATGTTTGACGTAAACGGAATGTTCAAGTATTAATTTACGTATAGATTACATATACATACAGATTATATTAAGTAATGTATATTGCTTAAGAGAAATTTGTTTCTATGTCTGCATTTCGACAAAAGTTCACTTCTTGAATTTAAAGAACAAAGTTCAGGGTGGTAGATTATGATGAATTTTTCATGTGTACAAAGACTGCAGCGTTTCGTTGTGTTGTTGTAGCTCTTGCATTGCTTAATAATACGCCAGTTTATGCTTCGACTCTTTAAGTTGCCAGATGTATTTGCTCAGCTCTGTGGCATTTCTATACTTGCTTAATCTGAATGAGCTAGTGTGGCAATAATATCTGGATTTGAACTGTCCTTCAGTATGTCCGACATACGATTCCTTTTGATTCGTATCGTTCCTAACAACCGTTGCTTGGTATACTACGCTGGATGTTAGACATTTACCGGGCAGTGGACACGAGGGCTTATTCCTGCAATAGCATTGTCTTGGTTTCGTGCTGCATGTTGACGCATCTGTTGAGGTGAGCTTATTTACTACAGTTGCATGCCCAACATTCGTAATATAATTTCTGGGCACAATAAATCTGAAGTAAATAAGCTCACCTCAACAGCTAAATGCGTCAACATGCAGCACGAAACCAAGACAATGCAATTGCAGGAATAAGTCCTCGTGTCCACTGCCCGGTAAATGTCTAACATCCAGCGTAGTATACCAAGCAA